AGAGGGGGGCCAGCGCGGCCCAGCCTGGCCCCGGCCCCCTGTGGTGGCGCAGCCAGCACCAGCGGTGGCGCAGGCCAGCCTGCCCGGGCCCAGCAGGGAGGCGGCGCAGCCCACCCTGGCCCTGGCCCCTCCCGTGGGGAAAAAAAGTCTTCCAATAGCCCGCATCCCTGTATAGCCCACACCCATCCATTTTTTTTGCAAAATCGCGTATACCCCGCGGGATATATGCACGAAAATATGGTAAATATAATTGAAATTAAAAAAACCCCAAAAGTTAAATACAATCTGATTTTAAACTTATTTGTTGTAAATAATTGAGTTTTGCCTACCCTGATTGGTTCTTTACCTTTTCAGACTCAGGGTATCCCTTGTTCGGCTTCAAGCACCCCTTGGAAAATGCCAGGTCTTACTTCTACTTCTCACTCATTTGTATTTGATTATAGAAAAATAGTAGAGCAATTCTGTTGCAAAGAACTGGGACCACAGTACATCAGAATGTTGTTGACATCATGGATTCCTGTTTGAAATCTCTGGGTTTATCTTGTGAATTATGTTTGTACATCTAACAGTGCTAACATTGCATGGCACCTGATGGCACCCCTGAAAGGATTTCAGGGGACCCTGGTTTACTATATAGACATAGCACAGGGGAGTCTGAATAAGGGCTTCAGTAGGCATAGTCATTTAATTATTCTTAACCTTATCTAAGAAAAGCATGATGCGTCTTTGGTTGCTTTATCTTTTTAAATAGCAAGACTTGCCATGGCTTAACACCTCTCTTTAGTTAAAGAATTAGTTTGAAAACAAAACCAAAACCCCCAAACCTTTTTAAAAATTGTAGGGTTAAATGGTGTTTAAAATTTAATCCTTCAGAAATTCTTAGATGTTTGTAAACTAACATTAGATGGCCACACATTCACTCCTTTTATAGTAAATAACATAAAAAGTGTCTGTATTAATACAAAGATGGCAATTATCTTTTCAAGAAATCTGATGACAGCCAGTATATATATCAAAACTAGGAAAGTTACTTATGGTAACTTTTTTTTCTTTTTCCCAGGAGCTGTTGGTCATCATGGTGACAACCTGGCAGAGAAGGTTCTCTCTGTGCTTCCAAAACTTCCTGGGCATGCGAATGATGTGATGGTTAACATGGTGGAACTCACTGCCCTGCAGACTCCAGATGACAGTTGCAGTATTATAGCACCAGGCTGCTTGGCACAACCAAAGTAAAACTGCCTTTTAATTTTTTTCTTTAAAGTTGGAGGCATTTAGACTTTAATGAAAAAGGAGAAAACAAAACCCTTTGTTGAAGTTGATACTAGATTTCCACCTAGTTTTAGCACTGTTGAAATGGACTCTGCAGTATTAATCCATTCACATACATGCACAAAAAAAGCATGTGGGCCAAATACAGCTCCTAGCTGGGGTCAAGCTTCAGTTCCTTTACTCTGGGATAGGTTTATGATTTTGAATAGGGGTGTACTGATAAAGATTTTTGGGCCAATACCAATGGCCTATTGTTAATGAGCCATATCAGCCAATACTGATCCGATTGCTGATATGCAGCCCGGCAGCTTGGAAAGCAGTGTCTGGCTGGTAAGTCTGTTGCAGGGAAAAGGTCTTGGTGATGGGGGGACGATGATCGAGACCCCTATGGTAAGGGAGGGAGTGGGGCTGGGAGTGGGGCAGGTGCTGCCCAACCGGGGCAGGATGGGGTGCGGGATGGAGACACAAGAGGCTTGTCTGTGGGGCACAGGGGGCAGGGGGAGGCAGATCCCACTGCTACACCCCCCCAGGGAAGCCATGGGAGGCATGTATCCCCCAGATTTGAGCAGGCTGGCAAGGGCAGGCTGGGCTGGGGGCAGTGCTGGGCTGGGGCTGTGCTTGGGGTGGGCCACAGTGGCACTGGGAGGGAAGGTATGGAGGGGATGCAGTGGCCACCCCAGTATTTGCCATATCCCATCCCATAGCCCCTTCTCCCAGCGCTGTTGCCACTCAACGTGAGTGCAGCCCCGGCCCAGCTCCCCTGCTGGGAAGAGCTCAGCACTGCCTGCAGCAGCAGCTTGCCCTTGCCCCTTGCATAGATCTGGGGGGCACACCTCCCCCTGTGGTTCCCCTGGGGTGAGTGTGTAGAGGTAGGACCTGCCCCCCTCACCCCTCCCTGTGCCCCCCAGATGAGCCTCTTGTGGCTCTGTCCTGTGCCATGCCCTGCTATGGTTGGGCAGTGCCTGCCCCAGCCCTAGTCCCACTGCTTCCCTCACCATAGGGGCCTCAATCTGCCCCCGCCTCCCCACACCCATTCCTCCCCAACAGACTTATCAGCCAGACGCTGCTCTCCATGGGCTGGCTGTGTGCATGCTGTGGCTGTGTGCATGCATGCAGCATTTATCGGAGACATCAGCCAAAAAAAGTCAATTGCCAATTAATGTAAATTTTCCTTTTATCAGTGCTGATACGATATGGACCAATGTATCAGTGCACCTCTAATTTTGAAACCAGAACTACCAGATAAAACTCAAAGATGGTTATCCAGGTCCTGGCAGTCATAAAACCTCTTCTTCATTAGGCTGCTGTTTCTGTCTACACCAGAGGTGGGCAAAATGCAGCCTGTGAGCTGGATGCGGTCTGCCAGGCCTTTCTATCCAGCCTGTGGGGCCCCTAAAAAATTTAGAAAATTAATATTTATCTGCCTCTGGGTGCCTGTCACGCAGCCCTCGATGGCTTGTCAAAACTCAGTAAGTGGCCCTCGCCCCGAAATAATTGCCTACCCCTGGTCTACAGGGACCTCCAGCCAGGTTGTCTACCCCTCCAGGTCCTGCTTTCTATACCTTCCAGCTTTTGTAGGTCTGTGAAACTGCTGCTTGCTAGCCTTTTTAACTGTTTACCACCTGACTTGCAGCTTTGTCTCTGGCTTCAAATGCACTACCTGGAGGGCAACCAATTAGACATAGATGGGACTTAGCTAATCTCTCATTATGGGTTTGTTGTTTCAAAGAAATAGCTTTAAGCATTGGTTTTACTTGCCTGCATGTATTAGAGCTAAGACCTAAACAGAAGCACCATATAACCAAATATAAAAAGATATTTGTTTATATAGTGCTTCTGACTTAAATTTGAATTTTAAATGTAGTTATATATTTGAACTGTTGTGTTACTTCAGCTTCCATTACAAAATGGACTGTGTAAATGTCTAATATATATAAATATCTCACTACTTGTTTATCTTGGAGAGCTACACCAGTCCTGCTCAGCAGAGTGCTCTGGAAGTTCACCTGAAGGGAGCCAGATGTTACGCGCTTTATCCTCTCAACCTTATCTCCTCTTCATGTTGGGGCAAGGCTTTTCTGAGAGAAGCCAAGGCTCACAGAGATCTTGGAAAGGACTAGACAGTCTTTCTGACTTCAGCATCCAGCATTTATTTTTTCTTTAGGGGCCTGCTGTACCCATTACCCTCTTTTGTCTCATATGCTAAATGCTAAGTCCAGCTTCTGAGGCACTGAACAATTATCTTCTTCAGTCAATGTAGAGGGAAACACTCACTGTATGAACTTTATCCTAAGCTACTGTTCTAGTGATTAGCTTAGATCAGGGGATGACATCAGGCCAGCTCATCTGGCCCACAGGGTGCTCCATGGGTTGGAAATTTGGTGGTGGAGTGAGCAGTGGCAGCATTAATTGCTGCAGTTCTCAGAGTTATAACAATTAACACTTCCATTGCTCATCCTACCGCCAAATTTCCAGCCCTGTGGAGAGCTCCGCAGGCTGGATTTAGAACACAGAACAGTGTCACCTGGCCTAGAGAGCTGCCCATGGGACTGGGAATTTGGTGGTAGAAGAAAGCAGCTGCTGCTGTAGCTCCAGGAGCTGCAGTAATTGAGGCTGGTGCTATCTAACTTCTAGCCCTCTGGGCAGGACTTCAGGCAACATGACATGGTGCTGCACTCCAGGTCCAGCCCAGAGGGCTGCATGAATTTCGACACCCCAGGCTTAGATGACAGAAATTATTTCTGGATCTCAATCAGCCATTTTGCATGTGGCCAGCTGATCATCAGAACCGTAATCCATGATGTGGTCTTTTTGGGCTCTACAGATATGTCTGTGCAGCAAAATGAAGATGTTTGTAACATACTGGAACTCACTAAAACTAATGTAGATAATGGTGGCGACTGAGGATGGAACAGTGTGGTCCGGCAGCCAGAACACATATGGCTGGTTAGCTTTGGACGGCTAGTACACATTAGGAAATCTTTGCTGTTATTGTTAGTTAGGCTGGTTAGATCAAAGTATCCAGGGTACACTTACCAATGCTATAATCACACTTTCATCTTGCTGTGCAGACAGACACTTAAAACAACTGGTCTCTGCTCAGCCATTAATAAAAAATATTCCAGAACCCACAAGTTTTACAGTGGGTTTGTTTGTTCTGTGCACCCTTTAGTTAGCCGGTGGTGCTTTTATAACAAATGCAATTAGATTTTTATCTCTGCACTGCTAACAGCTGTAGGAATGTCATACTCTCAACATTGACAGCCCTAAATCAGAAGGGTGTAGTGGCCCTTTCAGTTGATGTTTTTCCCTACTGACATAAAACATTAAATGTATAAAAATAGTTGATAACTAAAATTAGTGTTTCTGAACCAAATTAAGATGCATAATACTGTATTTACTAGAGCTGCTGAATGATTAAAAAAATAGTCGTGATTAATCACAGTTTTAATCACGCAGTTAAACAATAATAGAATCCCAATTTATTTTATTATTTATAATTGCCGGTGCCGTGCACTCTTGACCTGCAGCCCCCTGCTGCCCCCAGCTCCTCCCAGCAGCGTCTCCTGGGGCTGCCCAGCCCCTGCAAGCACGGGCACCAGCCCCTGTGCCGTTGTTCCAGCCTGGCCATGGAACTCCCCTCTGTCCTCAAAGGGCCCTGCCACCGCTCCATTCCCCTGTTGGAGCCTGCCTCACCCTGTCCTGCCTCAGCCCCAGCGCCCGGATAGCTTTCCCTGCTCTGGCAGGTACCTGCTCCCTCTCACATATGTACTCACACTCTAGGGAGTCCCCAAGACCTGGCCCTCCAACCTCTGCCCCTCCATACACTTACCTGTATCCAGTTGCTGAGCCTGCTCCCAGGACCCTGCGTGGCTGCTTGCTGGCCACGTGTGTGTGGCCTGGCAGCAGCAAGGGATGGGGGACACTTTCCCCCAGCACCAGCAGTGATTTAACGTGCATTAAAAAAATGAATGCAAAAACAAATTTATGCATTAATTGCTCCCATTAACAATGACTAATTGACAGTCCTTGTATTTACCTACATCCAAGGTGACTTCATATTTAAGATGCTCCCCACCACCAATAATTAGATTATGTACATGGAAAAATTATGTTTGTTATAATTTTCCATGTACAGAATCTAATTACTGAAGGCAGGGAGACAACCAGCAGCAGGTTAGCAGGTGCGTGGGGGGGAGTCAAATGGCCTTCCCCTTGCCCACTGCCCCCTGCCCCCACCCACTGCTGCGGGTTATCTTTTGTCATGGTTTCATCTCTGGTTCTGGCCCCACTCTGAGCTGGGGCATGGGGCATGTGGTGGCTCCAGCCACGTTTCATCATTTCTAGCAGCAACAGCTCTGGAGCTGGAGCTGGGGCCAAGAGTGGGGCTGCACCCCCTATCGCTGCTGCTGCATGGCTTGGCAGGGGTTGGAGCCACTAATGTGCTCCATGCCCCAGACTGGAGCAGGGCTGAATTCAGAGGTCTTACCCTGCAACTGAGGGTAAGTGGCATTGGGTGCAGGCTATGGGAGCAGAGACAGTGGGGGCAAAGACCTTTAGGGGCAGGTGGTGGGTGGCAGCCTGGGTTGGAGCTTTAGCCACAGCTGCAGTAGCCATGTCCTGCTCCTGCCCCTCCCTCCTTTCTACTCCAAATCCAAGATAAAGGGCTTTCTCCCCCTCCCTCCCATGCTGAATGGAGAAAAAAGCTCGTCTTGGAATCTAATAAATATGGTAACCAGAATCTGTGATATCATCGAAATGGAAGTCTGACAGTTTTTCCACTCTACTTAAACATGACAGTCTCTTAACTCAGTTCATAAACTTAAGCATGAATCATTTTGACTAGTTTAAAATGCTGAAGTACTTTTCCAATATAGAGATGGATTTATGATCTCTGACAACAGTCCTGTCCAGAGGGCAAACCTATGTTGATGGTAACTCACTTTTCAGCATAGTGGCT